TTGGCAAGTCATAAGGGTAGACAAAACATTCTGCTAGAAAATGTACTCTAGAGTAGTAGAGTGTGGATTTGCACGGTATTAGTGGACTTACGGCTTTAAGGCTCTATTGGATGCATGAAAAAACAGTTTCAACTGAAAATGTTAACAACAGAAGATGCAATTGAAGATTATCTTTCATTTGTTTGTTAGAGTGAAAAGGAAAACTGGAAATAAAGGAGACGGGGTGGAATGGAGGAGAGTAACTGGAAAGTAAGAAAATGAGAGATTGAGAGGGAATAAGGCATTGTGAGATTTGTGACCAAAAAAAGTCTGGTTATTGTGTTTAGCAATTCGTTAATTACAACCCTTGTGTTATGATCATCGTGAATAAACAAGCATGATAGTTAGCTCAACAGGTTTTTTTTTTTTTTTTTTTTTTTCCAAATTCCATGGTGTGCTTTAAACTTTCTATGCTTGAGAAACAAGAAGAACGTTTGCTAATTGTCTGTTTATGTAGATGCTAACTCACTGTCATCAGTTGCTTTGGGCTCTTCTTGGACTGAACATGAAAGTAAAGATATTTGTTGAGGCTTTGGGCAGGCTCTAGATGTTTATGCATTTTTCCTTTTAGCTTTGCTGGGCATTTTATCTCAAAGCAATTATCACATGGCTTAATGGTAAATTCTTTCTTTTAAAATGCTTTGAAGAGACTAATGTGAAAAAAAACTTATACTTTCGTAAACTTATATAAGACAATGATTGCAGGTTCCTCATGTAGTTAGTTAGGGGTGTGGGTGTGGGTGTGTGTGTGTGTGTGGGGGGGGGGGTGTGTGTGTGTGTGTGGGTGCGTGGGTGTGTGTGTGTGTGACAGCTGTACAAAAAAGAGGCTATCTCCTTCTAGAGCTCTTAACTAAATGCAGCAGCCTGTTCTTGTTTTTTGAGGCAACACTGATCTTGACGCAACGAAACATCACAATTTGGTCCTTTATTTTTTGAATGATGCCTGTTGGTCCTGCATGATCACCTTGCATCCATGACAAAATCCTTCGGTCCTGCACATCAATATTAACGTGGAGTAAATTTACCTTCCTAGCTTCTTTATGGCGTGATGCAGAGCTGTAAGCCCAGACTGTTCATTGCTTGTAGCCTGCAAATTGATGATTCCCTTCCAGCTTGTGCCATCTTTTCCTTCGATGTACCGATTCCTCACTCCCACTCCCTTGCAGCTTCTTCTAAGAGCTCCTGAAGTGTAAATGTTTACCACGGAGCAATCTGTGTACCCACTGATAATATCATGGACTTCTTTGTCCTGGCCATCCATATCATATCTGATCTAACCCTGAACATAAACCATGCACCTCCGTCTGATCTCCATTAGCAGCCTTTCTTCGAATTCAGCGGTTACATAATTTACTCTGTGCTGAACTTTACTCAGCGTGCCATAGGGGCTTTGGTATTGATCTTTGAAGATTCATTTGTTTCTTGCAGCCCATATGCCCTGTAAAGTGCGATGAATAGGGTATATAACTTTTGAAACTCTTTTGTCTTCACTCTCAGCATTCTGAGCCAGTTATTAATCCACTCAGACTCAGCAACTATGTAGTGTTGTAATTCAAAGGGAAGACTTCATAATAATTTGATCAGCAGTTACCTCCCAATATTTCCTAATGCAGAGTACAAAAAATTAGTCTTTCTCCAACATTCAAGTTTGTTTCTTGATCCCATGGATTTTTTTTGAAGGAAAGCACAATCTAAGTAAAGTTGTGTCATCCCATTGTATAATGCTTTTGTTAAGTTCTTCAGTAAACTAGAACTCTTGTCTGAATGATATAATATTTTATGCATGTTTTAATCTTGGTTTATTTTCTTATTTTTGGTGGACTGTGCTTTTGATTATCTTCATAAATCCAATCCATCATCAGCTTATCACTGTTTTAGTGTTATCAATCTTTATCTTTAAATAATAAAAATAAAAATGCTTTGCATTGCTGAATCTAATTAATCTAATTCATGATCCAACAGGTTTTGCTTGATGTTTTCTGGTAACCATGTTAGCAAAATGGACTACTGCCTTTGCAGTTTGCATGTAGTCTTGTAACACATGGTTTGATTTCTAAGACGGGTAGAATTTTCCATTTCAGGGATTTCTGGGTCTGAGTGCAGCGATGTTGATTCAGCTTTATCGAACCATATTCCCTGGAAATCCTGCTTCATTTCTTTTAATGGTCTCCTTGTTGTCTACAGTAAATCCATTACTGCTCATGTGGTTTGTGAAAATCTATGATGCCAATGCTGGAGATGAGAGACGACATCTTAACAACTTTTCATGGGTGGTGGTGGTAGTTTCTGCATATCTAGTGGTTGTTATTGTTTTGGAGAATGTGGTTACTGTTCAATTATTAGCTCATATCCTCATAGTTATTGTATTGCTATTCTTGCTCGCCTCACCCCTGTGGATTGCTCTCAGAGCTCAGCAGAGCTTATCCTCTGAAGGAGTCACTTACCAGGTAGACCCTGAAAAGATACATGGGAGAGAAGATGATACCTCTTATCAGAGACTGTCAGAACATGCGGAAGAAGATGCAGAAGCTAGTAATAGGCCGTCAGAGTTGGAAGGACACTTCAATTTGTTCCAAGCCATGAGGACTATGAATTTTTGGCTTCTATTTTTAGCCACAGCCTGTGCACTTGGGTCTGGGCTAGCAACATTAAACAATCTCACCCAAATTGGAGAGGCTCTTAGTTACACACCTTTAGAAACCACAACTCTTGTCTCATTGTGGAGTATTTGGAATTCTATTGGGCGGTTTGGGGGTGGATATGTATCAGATTTCATCCTTCATATGAAAAGCTGGGCAAGGCCTCTTTTCATGGCTGGTAGTTTGGGAATCATGAGTATTGGGCATTTGGTGATTGCTTCTGGTATGCCCGGGTGTCTTTATGCTGGTTCAATTTTGGTGGGCATTTGTTATGGGTCACAGCTCTCTTTGATGCCAACAATTGCTTCCGAGTTATTTGGGGTTGTAAATATGGGAACCATATTCAATACTATTACTATAGCAGGCCCTCTTGGGTCATACATTCTCTCAGTTAGGGTGGTTGGTTATATCTATGATAAAGAAACATCCAGCGAAACCAATATTTGTGTTGGTGTACATTGCTTTATGCTGTCTTTTTTCATCATGGCAGCTGTTACTTTCCTGGGATCTCTCTTTGCCGTAGTATTATCTTTGAGGACTAGAAGCTATTATGAGCACGTTATATGTAGGAGGTTTCTAAAGCCCTGAAGGCAGTAAGGAAGCTAGATGTGACCAAGAAATTGGTCTCCCTGAATGTGTGGAAAAGTTTGGTACCTGTTATTTCTCTTATAATTTTCCCGCATTTTGCACTCCATAGAAATGTATGATCCTCGGTCTCTTCTAATGGCTGATGGAAATTCTGTATTTCACCTGACACTACAGGGTTCTCAGTTCATGTAAATATGAATTACATATTTGGCACATTTTTGTACCATTTGCTTTAGACTATGAGGTAAACCATAGTCTACTGTATATTTTGTAATATGAAGCAGTAACTCACTCTATTATTATTGAAAGTTGTGACCAGAATAATGGATTTTTCATATGCTTCAGAAATTGATGGAACTTTTCGAAATCAATTCTATTCAATGGCACAGTATGGAAAAAAAATTCATGATATGGCATTGGATCGTTATTTTTCTATTTGTGTAAACTGGTGAGTAAAATTTTGGCGTCCACAATGGTTCTTCTCACTCTCTATCAAGTTTAACCACTTTCTCGACGAAGGTTGATATAATTATAATCGCCGCAAAGCTGAAATGATGTCTCAAAAAACTTACTCAAAGAGGGGAGCGAGAAGGAGAAGTCAGGTAAGTGGGTTAATTTTACTACCATATCAATTAGAGTTAAATAGGACAATTTGTTGCTTGTTACTTGGTCTCTGCAAGGTTCATACTTTGTGTAACCTCAGCAGAATTCAAAATCACCAAAAAATCACAAAAATACCAAAATGATGTCATTTCATAGACAAGAAGCAGACACCCAAGATTTCGTCCCATTTGCAGCCACCTTTCCCGGATTTTCTTTTTCTCTCCTTTGACTTTCTGCTGGTATACAATTCTTTTGACTATTTTGCTCTTTCTGTGTTAGGTGATTCTCTATTCAATAGTTTAGCATTTTTTGAGTATTTTGATACAATTGTGATCTTGTGATGCATTATTAGCCTCGTGCAATTTACCTATTTTGCATTTTAAATTCCTTCTTTTTGCTGCTGTTTCTGTCCTTTTTCAACTCTTAACTGAAGCATACGTAATATGATGATTAACCGAGATTTGTACTTTGGAGATTGGCTAAATCAAATAGAAGCAAGGTATTATTATATCTCGGTTGTATTATTGCATTGTAAAGGATTTTGAGCTTATTGTGACCAATATATTAGGCCAAAACAGCTGCCTTCCACCCCCATTGCTTGCGAAAGTGGTTATGTGACTGTTGACTGCATCCAAGATTTAAAACCATGAATGGAAGTCACATAAGACACTCATGTCTTAAATTTTTGTTATGCAAGAGACAATAGTGGATCCAAGAGTTTATTCCGATATTTTTCTCCTCAACATTATTTTTTAAGACGTGCCCAAAACACCCTTATATATTTGAATGTGGTAGTGTATAATATGTGACTAGGTGAGCTATTGTCTCACTCTACTTGTTTAATTTCTAAATTTTGTTTATGCCTAATGGAATACTAATGTCTGCCTTTAACTAATTCTGCTGTAATATGCAAGTGGGCTTCTCTTCACATGGGTCTTTTGAATTCAGATCATGTATTACCAATCTTCCTTAAATAAACTAGTAGGAATATAATATGTTACCATAAAATCAGCATTTAAATGCCTGCATTTGGTTTCCTAGATAAACAATTACATTTAATAATTTTTTTGACTCTGAAAACCGGATGAATTCAACTAGTAAGATTTTATATGGGCTGGGTTGTTTGGTTGGAATAGCTGGTATTAAATATGAATTTCTTGTAGGAGCTGAATTGAATTGTAGACGAGAGTGAAATTTAATATATTTATATTAATCATATACACCAATCATAGAAGATGATGACTTAAGATTAGAGGTTGTATGATCTGAGCAAATTAAAATTATTGAAAACCTATACAATTTTATTCTGTATAAATCATCTTAAATTAACTGTATCTTTTTAGTTTCTTCACCAATCATGAATCATGGGGGTTTCATTTTCTAGTAGAATCTTCAAGAGTTGATAGAAAGAAGGCAGTGTCTGTTAGTATCTTAGATTGTAGAGAATTGACGTTATTTGCGTGTTCTTTCTAAAAATGGGTGTTCCATTTACTACTATCAGCTTCTATCTTTTTAGTGTGCTATTTCTTGCTGATAATTTGTCATCTCATCCTCTTTGCATTGACTCGAGTGAGTCCTTTCATCCATCTTTCTTTGCTTTTCAATTGTTTCTGCATTGTGGTATCTTAATTTGATCTCATGTAGTGTGGATTTGTTTTTTTTTTTATTTTTTTTCTTCTTCTTGTTTTTAGGCTATCCTATAACTTTGAAGAACCCTTTAAAATTTTGCCCTTACAATGGGAGTTCATGCTGTGATTCCACACAGGATGTGCAACTGCAGAAGCAATTTCAGTCCATGAATGTATCTGATCCTGCCTGTGCCTTTATTGTGAAATCTATCCTTTGTGCTGTAAGGCTGTCTTCCCTTTTATTAGAAATAGTTTTTTGCCGCTTCATGCGAAGTTGAAAACGATGTAATATCTAAAATTTCTCCAAGTGATTCCTGAAGTCATGTACTTGCATAATCTGTTTAACTGTTTTGCTGCTTAATTATTTAGTGTAATTGCTCTTCCTCTTTACGGGTCTCTTGGGAAGAGTAATTCTACTTGTCTCTACTTGTTAAAATTGCATACATCTTCCACATCTTCACTGGGGTTGGTAAAAATTAAGTGTTGTATAGTACATAACTGTTATTTGTCTACTATTTAGTGGGTAGCTGAAAAAGGTTACCTGACTGAGGCTAATCGTCGAAGTAGTTATATCATGTAAGTGTTCGGCACAACTAGTTATTGAAGTAGTAAAACAAAATGAAAAATATATTCTCCTAGAAGTAACTGTTTATAGATTTTTGCAATATATTACACAAAAGCAGTTTTGGAAGCTTTTTCAGAACACTACTCCAAGTTAGTAGTTGTTTGATTTGGTTGAAACACTAAAAGCTACTGCCAAACTCACACTCCCAGAACCTGTACTTGATGGGATTTGTTTTAGGTGGTCAGGTGATTGTTGTTGTTCTTATCCAGTAAGTGTTACTTATGCATATATCTTTCTGAGGATTTCTTGGGTTTTTGGTACAGAGATGTGATCAATTTTCAGCGGAGTTGTTCAGAGTTAATAGTGTGCCTCGTTCAGTTCCTATTCTGTGCAACTCTACTTTGTCACCAACATCACCACAGTCCAGTCAAGCAGTGAGCAACTTTTGCTCAAAAGTATGGGATACATGTATGAATGTGTCAGTATTGAATTCACCATTTGCACACTCGTTACTACGTCAGGGCGGATCATCAGTAAATTCCAGTATTACCAAGATCACAGAAATGTGGCGGTCAAAAACTGATTTCTGCAATGCCATGGGTGAAGCTTCAAGTGATGGATCATTATGCTTTGGTGGAGAACCTGTTTCTTTTAATAATACTGCAGAGCCCCCAAGTAGCCCATCTGGTTTGTGCCTTGAGAAAATTGGAAATGAATCTTACCTTAGTATGGTGCCTCATCCTGATGGCTCCAACCGAGCTTTCTTCTCCAACCAAAAAGGAAAAATTTGGCTGGCAACGCTTCCACGAGAAGGTTCAGCTGGAGTAATCGAGTTTGATGAATCAAGCCCCTTTCTGGATTTAAGTGATATATTACATTTTGATGCTGAGTTTGGATTGATGAGCATAGCTACTCATCCAAGGTTCACTGAGAATAGTCGTTTCTTTGCTTCATTCAATTGTGATAAGACATTGGGGCCTGGATGTGAAGGGCGTTGTGCATGTAATTCTGATGTAAACTGCGATCCCTCAAAGCTACCACCTGATAATGGTGCGCAACCTTGCCAATATCAAAGTGTCATCGCTGAGTTTTCTGTCGGTGGTACCAATATCCAGCCATCAATGGTAAATTATGTGACCCAAACTAAGCTTTTTTGACTAATTTCGGACTTATAGTTAACCTCTTCTGTTAATTATCCAGGCAAGCTCTGTTAGCCCGGCAGAAGTCAGAAGAATATTCACCATGGGCTTGCCATTTACATCTCATCATGGTGGACAAATTCTTTTTGGTCCAGATGGGCATTTGTACTTCATGATGGGAGATGGAGGAGAAAGTGGTGATCCCTATAATTTTTCTCAGAACAAGAAATCGTTGCTTGGTAAAATCATGAGGTTTGATGTCAACAACTCCCCAAGTTAGTATTCTTTTCTTGTATTCCTATGTGATTATTCTATAAAACACATTTATTTGGTGTAATGCTATGATGTTACCATGTTTGATTCTTTAGTTTTCTAAGCAGGTTGTTTCTTGCGTAATGTTTACTCTTTGCTTGAAGTAGTGGAAAGCAAAAATAAATAAATCAAGTTTTTCCACTGTCACAGTCATTTTGTATCATGTTACTCCATATTAAGCAGTGAAGTATACAAGATTCTTCATAATTCCTGCTTTATGCCATTCTTGCTCCTCGGGTCTGGAGTGATTTTCTCTTCTAAACTTCTCTTATCTAATGCTGATTTTAAAATCTTTTCTCCTTATGTTCAATAAGCTATCAGAATTATCACTGAAGTTACTACATGATCCTTAAATTAATAGAACATATGCTAAAGCCAGTTGCTTAGTGTCAGAGGCGTATTATTACAGTTTAGTAGTTCACTTGCTCTTGTTGTCCACATTGGTATCTTAGGAGTAACACAGATATAATTAGCCCTCCATCTTTGATGCTGAAATTTCCTTCCATTTGTGTACCCCAAAGATAGTATGCTTATTTCAACTGTTCAAGTCATCATGTGTTCATATATGAAATGTCGTGTGAAATTTGTGATGCGGTTGATATGATGCTTCAAATACAAAAATAAAATGAAAAAAAAAATCAAAATATATAAAACCCAATAAGAAACACTGAAGTTAGCAAGCTTGTATTTTGGGTTATTATGGATATTAGGGGTGCAGTACCAGGGTAGACTGTTTTACGGATGTATTAATGTCTATTTCATAGGTTATATTTTGTGCAGCATCGATTTTCAGTGTACAAATTATAGGGTGCTTGATGTAATTAAAACTAAGGCTTTAGCCTGTTAATATAAGTCTTTTATTTTGTGTTAAAAAAGAAGTTAGCAAGCTTGTATGGTTACTACTCTGCAATGAGGTTATTTCACTTTCTCATATTCAATTCCTTTTGCCTACTTATGTAACTTATCTTGTTTATCCAGGTGCTGCAGAAATGAGTATAGAGGGTTTATGGGGAAACTACACTATTCCGAAAGACAACCCATATGTCAACGATAGTCAGTCGCAACCTGAAATATGGGCGTCTGGATTAAGGAATCCTTGGCGATGCAGCTTTGATGCTGAAAGGCCTTCATACTTTATGTGCGCTGATGTTGGACAGGTTTTGATCTTTCTCTTTGTTAATCACTATTTACTGGCTTTCTGAACACCTGTGTAGCGCATTTCTGTCTGTATTGTCTTATTTGACCCCTACATAAAAGTATAAAATTTGGCTGAAGTCTTATGCTTGCTCCTCAATTCTCATGAAAAATTTATACGATACACCACCTAATGCTTTTATTCACCATCAGAATATTTTTGCTACAGGACAAGTTTGAAGAAGTGAACATAATCACAAAGGGTGGAAACTATGGTTGGCGAGTTTATGAAGGCCCCTACAGTTATACTCCTCTAACATCACCCGGAGGAAATACGTCTTTGAACTCTATAAACCCTATTTTCCCTGTGATGGGTTACAACCATTCCACTGTGAGTTCAAAAGAGGGATCAGCATCAATTACTGGAGGTTATTTTTATAGGTCTAAAACTGATCCTTGTATGTCTGGCAGGTGAGTGTTCTTCAGCTAGCTTTTTCTAGGTAATAATGCTTTACAAATGAAAGTTGAGTCTACATTACATCTGTATTGTAAAAACACTGTCTATTTTGCCTTCCAAGTTCACCAGTGGTAAATGAATCGTTCAGATTTGGTACTGCGTAAGACATAAACAAACTATCTGGTGAATTTTAGGTACTTATATGCTGATTTATATGGAGATGCTATGTGGGAAGGCTCTGAATATCCCAAAAACAGTGGGAACTTCACCTCTAGATTACTTTCCTATAGCTGTGCTGCAGACTCTCCTATAAAGTGTAGCTCTGTCCCAGGAAGTTCAACACCGGCCCTGGGTTACATTTTCTCATTCGGGGAAGACCTGAATAAAGATGTTTATGTCCTGACTAGCAGTGGTGTTTACCGAGTTGTTCGTCCAAGTCGTTGTAAGTATGCCTGCTCCGAAGAAAACACCACAGATGTTGCTGCCCTTTCACCTGCTCCATCGCCGTCTCCTTCACACTCACAAGCCACCCAGTTGAGCAAACACCTATGCATGAGTTTAATGATTTATTTGTCCTCCTTGGTCCTTTTTATGATGAATTGCCTAGATATGTGAACAGTTTGTACATAAATTTTATTTTTCCAAATTGGAAAGATTATTATAATTAGTAGAAGAAATTAAGTCCTTTTATTTTTTATTTTATTTTTTATTTTTATTTTTTATGGAAGAAATTAAGTTGATTTTATCAATCCAATTGCATTTTTTTTTTGTTTATTTTACCAATCTAGCATAGCACTCTTCCTCATTTGTTTCTCATTTCATGTCATCATCAACTTATAATAATAATAAAAAAAAAAGTATCCATACAAGATTCGAACATGTAACCTTCAATAAAAACACGACTACGGAAGTAGTGAACCAACGCATAGCTCAAGCCCAAATACTAGTTTTCATCGTCAAAACTTAGAAATCTTCCCTTATATTCACGTATTTTACCCTTAGAGCATCTCCAATGGTAAGCTAATTGTTAAATTAATTTTGTCATGCAACATATGATCTCAAACTAACCCTCTTTGTAGCTATTTAGTGCCCCAATGGTTAGCTACTAGCTTGCTAATTATATAAGCTTGACTTTCTCAATTAGTTTTATAAATTTAATTAATTTAATATATTAATCCCTAAAAATTTAATTAATTTAATATATTAATCTCTAAAAAAATTGAAAATTAGCTTAATTAGCTTAGGCAACAAGCTAATTTGCTTGGGCAAGCTAATTGTATTATTTAGCTTTAATGGTCAATAGTAGCTAGAAACTTTTGAAAATTGCAAGCAAATCTCTGGCTACAACCATTGGATTTACTCTTAGTGTTCAAGTTTAAATTGACAAAGGAGTAGTCACTAATTGACATATATCCTCATCTTACTTCTTCTTTAAAGCTCCTACCTCCCTTTACATTTGTAATCTTAACAACAATCCTATAGGATTTTTTTAAGGAAAATGTGAGATAATAGCCAATTTTTGGATTGGATATCCGTAATCCGATATCTGAAATCTTGATATATGGATCGGATACTTGTTATCTGATATTCGAAATCCGAAATATTTCAGACATTTTTCGGATATCACATATTCGAAAATCCGAATTTGATATTCGAAATTATTTGACCGGATATCCGATTCGATACTATCCTACATTATCAGATCGGATCTTTGGATAAATTTACTCATCCTTACCGACCCCTATCCACCACCCACTTAAATATCCATCCTCGCCTAATACTCAATCTACTCGTCTCACCACTTACTTTGCCCGTCCTTAAATCCACCTCACATATCAAACTAAATTTTAATTTCAACACATATAATTCAATAAAAATAATTACATAATACATTAATATAGTCGGATTATATTGGCTTCTATTCCTCGATTTTATTTCATTATGTATTTCAAGAATAATTTTGCAATATAAAATAACTAGTAAACTTTAAATATGGTAGATTCATAGTGCGGTGGATATGGAGATGAGGTTCGATTTTTATCTTCCTCTCCATTTCATCATCCACCGTCACTTAATTGGGTGGATGTAACATGCAAGACTAGTTTCAACTAAAACTCGTTCCATTAACATCTCTATAATTAACATCATGATAACTTTATGATTCAATATTCTAATACGATGTATGAGTATTTCATATATGCATAACCAATTTTAACCATGAATGAAGAAAAAGTGTGAGAAAAAGAAAGAAAAGGAAAATCGAAGAAACAAGAAAGAAAAGAGACCGTGGAAATAAGGCAAAACCTCTCCCTCTATTTCCATGCTCCTTGTCATATGCTCCTTTGAAGACTACCTTTTTTTACCCAGTTGCCCTAATTACCCAAACCCTTCTATTTTTCCCCTTTTTTCCATAAACAAAAACTCTAGCACAAAAAATCCATAAAAATTCAGTGAACACAACAAAAAAAACCCAAAAAAACTCCAACTAAACCCCCCATTTTTAAAACTACCCAGAAAAACTGGGGTTAAGCTTAACATCAAAATTGCCAAATACCCACAAAAATTAATCCAATTTATTATTTGGGTTTCTAAATTTCTTCCATTTTTCTCCCTGTTTTCTTGATTTTTCTGGGGTTGAAGAGATTTACAGAGAAGAGTGGTATGATGTAATGAATGTTGGATTATTCATATTTTCTGGGGTTATTTTACCTTCTCTTGTATTTTTCTAAGTACCCAAAAACTTGGGCTTAATTTCATTGTATTTCTTCAATGCAAAGCTATGATCTTTTGCCAAATCCCACCTTAATTAGCCCTAACCCTCACCTTCTTGATCCTCCTGCTATGGAGGACGCCGTATCGTCCCCGATCCACCGATCTTTGGGTGAACCGGAGACTAATGGGGATATCCCAAAGCCTGAAACCAACAATCACCCCGAAGCCAAAGCCGAAACCGAAACCGAAACCGAAACCGAAACTGAAGCCGGAACTGTAACGCAAGAGGGTAGTAACCCAATTGAGGATGAAAGCAAGAAAGAGCTGGGTGGTAATGATGCTGTTAATAAGAGCAATAGCAAAAATGGAAAGAAGGATAGCAATAATAATAGTAATAATAATGTAATAGTTAGGAGAGAAAGGCCAACTCGAGCTTGCACGGCTCGGCCGGCCAAGTATGTGGACCCTCCGGTGATTGAGCGGCGGGCGAGGCCGCCGAAGAGGGAGAGAGTTGAGAAGGTGGTGGTGGAGGAGGAGGTACTGGAAGAGGAAGATGATGATTTGCCAAAGGAGCATTGTAGTAAGGTTGTAACTTCATTGGTGAATCCACCTACCCCGGAGCAAATGCCGCGGTGGCAATTGAGGTCCATGTGGGAATTGGCTTCAATACTCAATTTTCTCCATGTCAGTTAAGATATAAAAGAAATGGAATCTTGTTATTTAATTTTGGTTTCTTTGTTGTTTTTTTGAGCTTAATTGAGGTGTTTTTGTCTTGTGGATTGTAGTTGTTTAGGGCAGTTTTGAACATTAATGCTGAATTTAGTGCTGAGGAGTTGGAGTCTGCATTGCTTACTCCCAATAGTACATTGAGTGATATACATATCCCACTGTTGAAGGTTGGTCCATTGCTTTCTCATCTATTTTGAGTGTGGAAATTATTTTAGCTTTTGCTATGTTTGTTTGATGGTGGAAGTATTAGTTGTTTGCTTGTTTGATTGAAAATTTGAAACTGGTTAGTGTTTACTGACAATGCATGTGTACTTACTATGATATTTCTTACATAGAAAGGAAATTTGTGTCTATCTGAAGAGGATTGCTATACCGCAAATGTGTAATTTTGATATCGGAGGGCTGGTTATTGCCTGTATGCACTAGCTTGAATTGATATTTTAAGTCCTAGGATTCCAATGATTTAAAGTTGCGTTTGAAATTGTCATTAGTTGTATTAAATCTCTTTACCGTAGTTTGAAGGCTTTTGATGTTCAGGTCTGAGACTTCGTTGGTAATATTGTGAAAGAGATTGCTGTATGATCAGGTTGTTAATTGTGCTTTGAGACCTGAGATATACACATATTATAGCTTGTATCTATGTTCTAGTCTGTCTTTATGAGGGTAGTGTAGCAGAACTCTAGAAGCTTGTGCTAGTTATACTTTTGGTGAATGAGACCGCTAGCTGATTAGATTTTTTAATCTTGCTTTGAAACCTTAGATATACAGGAAGTGTTAGTTTGTATCTTTGTTCTAGTATGTCTTTATGAGGTAGCATAGTAGAACTCTAGAAGCTTGTATTTAGTTATATTTTGCTGCAAGGAAAAGGGTTAAGCTCATTTGCTTCACGATTGAATTAGGATGAATCCATTTTCCACCCTGGTTTGAGCCCCAACTCTCCAAGATTGTGCCGCAGATGATCATGATTCTGAAATGTCTTTGCAAAGAAATGGTGTTTAATGTGATTTATTTACTACATATTTATCTTGGTGTAGAGAGTCACAAGGGAAAATGATGTAGGCGGGATTTGATCCTAGGTCTTGGTTATCCCCCAAACTTGACCAAATAAGCTAGTTGACATCTACATGGTACTTTATGTTTGCATATGCAATTTTACTCTATGTTACTGATATCTACCATCCATTCATTCTTGTAAGTTTCTTTCAATGTATGCCATATCGCCTAGGAACCTGAAGTGGTGGGGTGGATTGGCATTTTTCTACCTTGCTCGCTCATTGACTTTGGTCAATATGATCCTTCTAATGAGCATGTGAGTGTAACAGAGCCTCCATTGTGGATTCGTAGGCACGTAGTAAGAGTATGCCTCATATTTTTAGGGTATGTAGAATCATGTGAGAGTGTAGTTGTGGTATCTTTGTTCAATTAATGTCTGAAATATTAAGCCTGTGTCGTGGACATTGGGATAGTTAGCCTACTGCCACCTTTTCTTTCTTGTTAACTTCTGTCAATTATGAGCTTATTGTAGAGTATGAGAGTAAATAGGTAATATCAGTTATATGGTGGGATGAGAACTTTGGGGGGGGGGGGGGGAGCTTTGATTTAATATATACATTGCAAAATTGAACTGTAAATTGTATTTTTTTTTTTTTTTGTATTAGGTTTCTGATTAATGAAATGATGCTGTATGTATACATTGTTTGGGCTTGCTGATGAATGTGACTGAACTCGCTAAGCTCAAAAAAGAAGAGAGGAGGATTTTGTTTATTATGACTACGTGATTATTAATTTTTTATTTAGGCTGGCAAGGTATGGTGCTCAATTTGGTGGAATTTTGTAATTGGTGAAAAGCTAAAGCTTTCGGGTATCTGTTTTTGTGCTCATGGATAAAATGTAGGGTTGTTCAAAGAAATTGAGAAATTATTCCTTTTAAGGTATTTCGGCAACACAGTACCCTTTACTAGGTTTGTAAACAAGTGTATTAATTTAAAGCTGAATATTTTTATCCTTTAGACTCTGCTTGAATATAGGAATGATCTATTGATATAGCTGAATTTTTCAACGAGTAAAGATAGGACTGAGCCATGACCTATTGGTTGGTAAGTAAGGTTGCTTGTGGGTAAAGTAGTGAACAAGAATTATACTTGGCTGGATGCCTAGTAGTTGACTTAATTTCCATGTAGAGAAACTCCATTTTTCTAAAGTAAATGTTTGAGATATAATAGGGAGAGCAGTTGGTCAGTAATTGCGTTGGATTGTGAGATAGTATATAATTAAGTGTGGGTGGTGGTTGTTTTTGTGATCTCATGGAATGATCTGTTGAAATGGTCTTTTATATGTTTATGTACCTTTTGTATTAGCATAGTAGCCCTATTCAAAAGCAGTAGCTCTTTCTGAAGTAGTTGTTTGGTTAGATGTTTCAGATTATAATCATTTGTAGCTGTTGATCTAATACATGATGTAATTATAGGAGTTGTCTTTGTGCATGGGATTTTAGTGAGAAATTCCTTTTCCGTTGGGGGCATCATAGGTTATCATCTTTTA